TGGCTCTGACAAGACAGTGACAGTGTGAATGATGGTGAAAGTTTCTGTTTTGAGTCATTCTGCCTCGGTGGGAGATTGCCAGCGAGTTAAAAAAAAAAAAAATTATGAATTGCTTTTTATTAAAAATGAGCTAAGTAGGCATGTGCTGAGAGGTCTTTCTGTACTAATCATGTTATGCTTAAAGTCTTTCTCCATCATGCTCCAGAGCCAAATTATTATTTTGGCACAATTTTTCTGTCAATGGTTACTGACCTATATGCACAGTCTGTTACAGTACATGATTTACACAAAATTATAAAGTCAATGCCAAATTAAGTAAAATAGATAGTAGTAACTATCTATAATGGTAGATCTTTAATTTTGCTGTGTTGTCCTTGCTGTGTCTAGTATTTTGGCAGGCAAATATTGTAGCATTTCCTCCTTGTGTGAGAAAGGAGGAAATGGTACAATAATATTTGGGTAGGCTCCAGGATGTTGTACATGTTTATAGAGGGGCAACTAATATGTCAGATCATTATTTAGTTGTAACTACAGTTAGAGTAAGAGGTAGATGGGACAAAAGGAAAATGGCAACACAAGCAAGGGGGAGGTGAAAGGGAGGAAGAAGTTCGGGTAAGATATAAGCAACTATTGGCAGAAAGGTGGGCTAGTGCAAGTATGAGTAGTGGGGGGGTTGAAGAGGGTTGGAATAGTTTTAAAAATGCAGTATTAGAATGTGGGGCAGAAGTTTGTGGTTATAGGAGGGTGGGGGCAGGAGGAAAGAGGAGTGATTGGTGGAATGAAGTAAAAGGTGTGATAAAAGAGAAAAATATAGCTTATGAGAGGTTTTTACAAAGCAGAAGTGTTATAAGAGCAGAGTACATGGAGAGTAAAAGAAAGGTGAAGAGAGTGGTGAGAGTGCAAAAGGAGAGCAGATGATATAGTGGGAGAGGCATTGTCAAGAAATTTTGATGAAAATAAGAAAAAATTTTGGAGTGAGTTAAACAAGTTAAGAAAGCCTAGGGAATGAATGGATTTGTCAGTTAAAAATAGAGTAGGGGAGTTAGTAGATGGGGAGATGGAGGGAATATTTTGAGATACTTTTAAATGTCGATGAAGAAAGGGAGGCGGTAATTTCATGCACTGGCCAGGGAGGTATATCATCTTTTAGGAGTGAAGAAGAGCAGGATGTGAGTGTGGGGGAGGTGCATGAGGCATTATGTAGAATGAAAGGGGGTAAAGCAGCTGGAACTGACAGGATCATGACAGAAATGTTAAAAGCAGGGGGGATATAGTGTTGGAGTGGTTGGTATTTTTGTTTAATAAATGTATGAAAGAGAGGAAGGTACCTAGGGATTGGGACCTGACGAGCTGTTGGAGTGTGAGCAGGGTAATATTTAGTGAAGGGATTCAGGGAAACCGGTTATTTTTATATAGCCGGACTTGAGTCCTGGAAATGGGAAGTACAATTCCTGCACTTAAAAGGAGGGGTTTGGGATATTGGCAGTTTGGAGGGATATGTTGTATATCTTTATACGTATATGCTTCTAAACTGTTGTATTCTGAGCACCTCTGCAAAAATAGTGATTATGTATAAGGTGAAAGTGTTGAATGATGATGAAAGTATTTTCTTTTTGGGGATTTTCTTTCTTTTTGGGTCACCCTGCCTCGGTGGGAGATGGCCGACTTGTTAAAAAAAAAAAAAATTCTATTGGGGTTGTAATATATTACACTATCTACATGGTGGTGCTCCCTAAGGCACATAATAATGAGTGAGAAAGAAAAATCAGTGTTTAGCCAGATAAACTTTGGGGTGTACCCAACAACCATCGCCCATCATTATCATGTATTAACTCAACATAAATTTAGCCTGATCATTGCCAAATAAACTTTGGGAAAATATCTGTTATGCAGCATTCTCCCCAGCCCCTTCAAGAATGAGGGCTGTAATTTGGCCTCAGTAGAACCACTGTGAAAACCAACATCCATTTAATTAAGTATCGCGCCTACCTGCAACTGGTTACGAGACCTATTAATCTTGAAATCTGGCCTGAGGCCGGACTCTATCATTGCTACCAGTCTTTCTAAATTGTCCAATGTGCCTACTTTCCTATTGTGCAATAACACCTGTATTTTCTACTTAATACTGGATCAACTGTGATCACGATATAAAAATCTTTTGATGGTATACAAGGCAGAAATAAACTTACGATAATTTATAATTTTGTATTTAAGACAAATTCTTAGAACAGTATATTTAAGAGAGAGGTTATTTACAATAAAAGTGTTGATACACACTACCTGATCCAAAATGAGTATTTTGACATGCTTTCACAAGTACCTGGGGAGAACACTGTTTAGTGTTACACTATGTAATCACTCTTTCAGTTACATGCAAGTTTCCAAAATTTTGAAAATGAGTACTAAAAAAAATGTACACTGTGCTTACCAATTTAGAATGACAATTAACATGTCTCAACAACTTTGAAGGTAATTTCAAATACCAGACATGCTACTATGCTACTGAAATATATTCCTGAGTATCAGAAAAAGTAAATAACTTTATAGCATAAATTTTATGGATGGAAGATTGAGTAACTCCAGTCAATTTAATGGAAAAATTTAATTAAAGCTAAGACAGCCTGATCCATACATACAAATTTCAACATGCACACTGCATTTATTGTCTTTATGTATTGCTAGTTACAGGAATAGAGAAACACTCGTCGTGTCAAGTCTCCTTTAATTAACTGATCATTCAGCACATATTTCGCACATTAACACTGGTTGTGGCAGACAGTACTCTAAGCACATTCCATCTACCACTAGTTGAAAAAGAAATTTTCTGCCATTTTTGTACTTTTTATTCTTCCAAAGGTTTTAATCATTCTTTGTAGATCGTACATTTTTAGTTATGGTATTCTATGTACTTCTCTGAATTTTCTCTAGGTGTGAACTATATGCTAGCCAGATATATTAATATACATATGCAAATATATATATACATGTATAGATATATAATATACACTGCAGACTCCATGGGGAAGTGGAGAATCCTTCCTCCACGAGCCATGCATGTCAAAAGAGGCGATAAAAATTCCAGGAGCAAGGGGCTAGTAACCCCTTCTGTATAAACTGCCTCGGTGGGATAAGGCTGGTTTGTTGAAAAAATATATATTTTTTAACAGTTCCCCACGCATAATACTGAAATTCCTTAAAATATTTTGGATAATTAGCATATATGAGGTTTAGTAATGCAATTGAACATATTTTTTAAGAGATTCTTAGAGTGGCTTTCTGGCTATATTGATGAGCTGGGTGTGTCACCCACACACACGTCAGCTGCCCTGGGCTGTCACCCACACACTCACTTCACCCTCCTTGGGCTAGTGTGTCACCCACACACTCGCCTCACCCTCCCTGGGTTGCGCTCTCTCTCTCTCTCTCTCTCTCTCTCTTCTCTTCACACACACACACACACACACACACACACACACACACACACACACACACACACACACACACTCTCTCTCTCTCTCTCTCTCTCCCTAGGCTGCTGTCACCCACACATCTATCTCACCCTCCCTGGATTGCTGTCACCTACACATCTATCTCACCCTCCCTGGATTGCTGTCACCCACACATCTATCTCACCCTCCCTGGATTGCTGTCACCCACACATCTATCTCACCCTCCCTGGATTGCTGTCACCCACACATCTATCTCACCCTCCCTGGATTGCTGTCACCCACACATCTATCTCACCCTCCCTGGATTGCTGTCACCTACACATCTATCTCACCCTCCCTGGATTGCTGTCACCCACACATCTATCTCACCCTCCCTGGATTGCTGTCACCCACACACCTCACAAGTGGCACCTTCACTTTAACATTTCTGATTCTTCACAGAGCAATGGAGCAAGTGATCATAATTAAGACTTATCTATACTCTTTGTTTCCTGCCTAAAAAAAAAAAAAAATCACCTTTTACTAATGTAACCCACAAATTATATTCTTTCTTACTTTATACTTATTACTTCTTGATAAGTTTGGAATAGGTTTAGCTGGATTAAAAGTATTGAATTCATTTGCAGGCTTTTTTGAAGAGCTTCTCTTCTTAATCTCTATCCTATACAGCATATTTTCTTTAGTACTAATTATTATATTAGCCTTTTTTTTAATTATTTTTTTTTTGTTTTCCTTTGTATACTTTTTATTAGTCCCTGTTATCTGGCTGTCAATTTCAGCATGCCTACTGCATGTACAAAATTTGTCTATCACTGATTTATATGCCTCTTCTATTTCTTTCCTTTGCCTCTTCTGAATGTCCCTATTTTTCATTTCCTGATCAATTACTTTCTGGTTTGCTGCACATTCTGCATCATAAATTTTGATTATTATTAAACAAATTTAACTCATTAAGCTCACTTGTTAAGTAATTTATTTTCCCTCAACAGTTTAAATATAGTTTTCCTTGTTTTATCTGTTGTTGTTATTCATGCTTCCCAAGAGTTCATTCACCTTTATTTCTCTATCATTAAAAGCTACAAAGCAACTGTTTGCAATTGTTGCCATGTTAACCTTGTGTGCAGAGCCCACATAGCATAAGGTATTCTGAGGTGTTCATGTCAGCAAACATTGGTACTGTACAACAGAAAATGTGTATCCCCCTGTGGACCACCATAACATTTTCCATTTTATAATTCACCCTTTGTGGACTATTGACATCCTCACCATTGCTCTAAGTCCTTAAATGTATCAAAATACTGTAGGCAAAAATGTTTGAAGGTTTTGGGAGACACACATCAACTCTCATTCTTGTGTGATTACCTCCCTACTTCCTTTTGTCTGTGTAATTACCTATGTGTATGTGTGTGTATTTGCAAGTGAAACTGCATGTGTACTATGTTTATGAGAACATTTACCTCAAAGTTTCAATGTAACATCTTTGATAACACTTTCAGATTACACTGACAGTTCAACAGATTCACACATACTGATTTAATCACAAATGCTTACTTATTACCAATTCACTGCGTTTGAGATTTGTTGTATGCATTGATGGTAATATCATCGACGGAGTTAATGGAGTAGCCAGTGATGGAGTCTGGACTCTGGAGGGAAGCAGTGTACAAAGGGTTGACTGGAGTTTGTCCATCACCAGTTATTTCTTCAGACAAGCTGCTGTAAGGAGCACCACTTGCCTAATGAAAAAAAAATCACCTTAATAGTGTACTACAACAATAGTGACTTCAAGGCTATGGTAATTTCAACATTATTTTTTGCTTGCAATTATATTTGGTAAGTTGGAGCCAGAGGGGCATTCTGGAGGAACTAACAAGGCACATTTATAAAGAAGATTATTCTATGTACATGACATACCTTGCAGAATGGTCCAATCTCTTCAAGTATATATTCAACCAACATTCCAGAAAATCTAAGTGTGCTAGTTTTCATAGGATTTAGATTATGCAAAGTCTCAGTCATTTTTTTTAACAAAGCAGCAATCTCCTACTGAGGTAGGGTGACCCAAAAATAGAAAAAAACTCTTTCACCATCATTCACTCCATCACTGTCTTGCCAGGGGCATTCCAATACTTCAGTTCAAATATCCCTCCAAATTGCAAATATTCCCACACCACCTTCACAGTGCAGGCACTGTACTTTCCACCTCCAGGACTCAAGTCTGGCTAACCCGCTTCCCTGAATCCCTTCATGTTACCTTGCTTACACTCCAACAGCATGTCAAGACATGAAAACCCACTTGCCTTCACTCATTCTTAACATGTTCACACGTGCCTGCTGGGTGTCCAAGCCCCTTACGTACAAAACCTCTTTTACCCCCTCCTGCCAACTCTTCTTAGGGCAACCCCTAGGAAGCAGTGTATTTTGTTATGGTTATACTTTTCTTGATTTTGTAACCCCAAGGAAAAGTACCCCTGACAACTGTTAAGATATATCATTGCATAAACAAATAAGAATGTCATGAAGATGTATTCCCACATTATTTTGACTTACAACAATCTTTGCATAACTCAACAGTTACACATGTCTTTTAGGTAAAATATAAAACTCATCTGGGAGAGCTTAAACAAAATATCAGTATGTCAAATCCTAAAATCCGTTTGTTTCAACTAAAAGTACAAATTTCACCTTGCCGTGAAAGATCTATCACAGTTATAAAGTATATGAATACACTTTTTCATGACACACAAAAACCTTCATACTTCTAGATGAAAAACTATCAGTGTTACTTTTATAGGAAAATAGAGGTGACCTTTGTTTTCTGTGAAAGATATGTTACTGGTTCATAATGCATGAGGAGAACCCAATACAATATGTAACACTTCGGAATTCCTTTGAGAATTTTGCCATTTCACATTTCTTGACAAATGTTTACCACAAAATATAAGCATACCAGAGGTGCACTAAATGGTCAAAAACAAAAGAGATATGAATTTTGTTGAAAAACTTGAGAAAAGATAAAATTCAAAATTCAATCATAATCCCTATGCAAAATGTAATAAAATATCTACAATGCTTTACATACAATTTTTTATATAAAAAAATTACATGTCAGATAAGTACATACCACAAAAAAAAAGTGCAATGGGTCAAAAACACGCAAGAAACAATCAGATTCAAAATTCAATCACAATCCTTCCTTCCACTCCATCCTTCCTCCTCCATCAGCTAGTCAGCTTATCTAGTCTGAGGAGCAAGTATTATGAACCTGTGAATATAAGCTCCCTAATACTCTTTCCCTCCCTCCCTCCACTCCTAGCCTCCACTATGTCAGCACAACCCAACATCATTTGGATCCATTTGCTTTTGATTTGGCATAAGACACTGCAATTTAAGCCTGATCACAGAAACTTTGTTCAAAATATGCTGAAGGGATTTGCACACCCAAATCTGTGATTCATCATTCATTTCTTTATGACAAAATAAACCAGTATAACCCTAGTGGGCATAGCGCTTGGTTACGATTGTAATAATAAGCGTAATACTTTGTCCCTACCTGGTATATGTTCTGCTGGGGGAATTCTGAGCCAGGAAGAGGTAACGAGCTTGTATCATCGTCATCTTCTGATTTATATGAGAAGACGATGTTCTCCACCTGCTCACGACTCTTCTGGCTGCATCATAGAATTATGTGAAAATAATTAAAAATCTGCAAATTACCCTTTCTTTGTCATTTTATTCTAAGTAAATGTTTTAAGAATTTTTTTTTTTTTAACAAGTCGGCCGTCTCCCACCGAGGCAGGGTGACCCAAAAAGAAAGAAAATCCCCAAAAAGAAAATACTTTCATCATCATTCAACACTTTCACCTCACTCACACATAATCACTGTTTAAAAAATACGTCCACTAGGGAAGGCTAGAAACATAGCCCAGACAGAAGAGGAGAACTCCTCTACCTAGACAGCCATAGAGAAGCCATTCTTATTCTTTTTAGTAATTATTACAGGAAAAGGGGTTACTAGCCCATTGTTCTGGGCATTTTAGTTGACTTTTACAATACTCATGGCTTACAGAGGAAAGATTCTTATTCCACTTCCCCATGGATATAAAAGGAAAAATAATAAGAACAAGAACTATTAAAATCAAATCAAAGGAAACTCAGATGAGTGTGCATAAATAAACATGTACATGTATGTGTAGTGTGACCTAAGTGTAAGTAGAAGTAGCAAGACGTACCTGTAATCTTGCATATTTATGAGACAGACAAAAGACACCAGCAATCCTACCATTACGTAAAACAATTACAGGCTTTCGTTTTACACTCGCTTGGTAGAACGGTAGTACCTCCATGGGTGGTTGCTGTCTACCAACCTACTACCTAGGATATATATATCTTTCTTTCAACACACCAGCCGTATCCCACCAAGGCGGGGTGGCCCAAAAGGAAAAACGAAAGTTTCTCCTTTTACATTTAGTAATATATACAGGGAAAGGGGGTTACTAGCCCCTTGCTCCCGGCATTTTAGTCCCCTCTTACAACACGCATGGCTTACGGAGGAAGAATTTTGTTCCACTTCCCCACTGAGATACCAGGAAATAAACAAGAACAAGAACTAGTAAGAAAATAGAAGAAAACCCAGAGAGGTGTGTAATATATATATATATATATATATATATATATATATATATATAGTGGACCCCCGGTATTCGATATTAATCCGTTCCTGAGAGCTCATCGAATACCAATAATATTGAAAACCGAATCAATTTTCTTCATAAGAAATAATGGAAATCAAATTAATCTGTGCAAGACACCCAAAAGTATGAAAAAAAAAAAATTTTACTACATGAAATATTAAGTTTAATACAACAGAATGATTACAATAACAAGAAAATAATTGACACTTACCTTTAATGAAGATCTGGTGATGATTGATGGGATGGGAGGAGGGGAGAGGTGTTAGTGTTTAGAAGGGGAATCCCCTTCCATTAGGACTTGAGGTAGCAAGTCCTTTTCTGGGGTTACTTCCCTTCTTCTTTTAATGCCACTAGGACCAGCTTGAGAGTCACTGGACCTCTGTCGCACAACAAATCTGTCCATAGAGCTCTGTACCTCCCGTTCCTTTACGATTTGTCTAAAATGGGCCACAACATTGTCATTGTAATAGTCACCAGCACGGCTTGCAATAGCTGTGTCAGGGTGATTTTCATCCATAAAGGTTTGCACTTCAACCCATTGTGCACACATTTCCTTAATTTTTGAAGTAGACAAAATGGATTCCACAACTGGCATAGGCTTCTCAGGGTTAGCCCCAAACCCTTCAAAATCTTTCTTAATTTCCATACTAATTCTCACCCTTTTTACCACAGGGTTGGCATTAGAAGCTTTCTTGGGGCCCATGGTGACTTATTTTGCAGAAACAAGCACCAAACACAGTGATAATATGGATAATATGGAATGTACCGAATGTATCCTTAGATGCGCGCACACTGGCTGGCTTGTAAACGCTGGCACACACGGGGCAGTTCTGGCCACACATGGACAGGTCTCGTACGAATCGTATCGAATACCGGGTTTTCAATCGAATACCGAGGAAAATATTTTGCGATATAATGCATCGAATACCGGATTTATCGAATACCGATGCCATCGAATACCGGGGGCTCACTGTACTTGTACGTGTATGTGTAGTGTGACCTAAGTGTAAGTAGAAGTAGCAAGACGTACCTGAAACCTTGCATGCTTACGAGACAGAAAAATGGACACCAGCAATCCTACCATCATGTAAAACAATTACAGGCTTTCATTTTACACTCACTTGGCAGGACAGTAGTACCTCCCTGGGCAATTGCTATCTACCAACCTACTACCTAGGATATATATACACGTATCTTCTTTCTTTCAACACACAGGCCATATCCCACCGAGGCAGGGTGGCTCAAAAGGAAAAATGAAAGTTTCTCCTTTTACATTTAGTAATATATGCAGGAAAAGGGGTTACTAGCCCCTTGCTCACGGCATTTTAGACACCTCTTATGACGCGCATGGCTTAAGGAGGAAGAATTCTGTTCCACTTCCCCATGGAGAGGATGGATATATATAATATATATATATATATATATATATATATATATATATATATATATATATATATATATATATATATATATATTATATATATATATATATATATATATATATATTATTTTTTTTTTTTTTTTTTTTTCAACAAGTCGGCCGTCTCCCACCGAGGCAGGGTGACCCAAAAAAGAAAGAAAATCCCCAAAAAGAAAATACTTTCATCATCATTCAACACTTTCACCACACTCGCACATTATCACTGTTTTTGCAGAGGTGCTCAGAATACAACAGTCTAGAAGCATACACATATAAAGATACACAACATATCCCTCCAAACTGCCAATAACCCAAACCCCTCCTTTAAAGTGCAGGCATTGTACTTCCCATTTCCAGGACTCAAGTCCGACTATATGAAAATAACCGGTTTCCCTGAATCCCTTCACTAAATATTACCCTGCTCACACTCCAACAGATCGTCAGGTCCCAAGTACCATTCGTCTCCATTCACTCCTATCTAACACGCTCACGCACGCTTGCTGGAAGTCCAAGCCCCTTACCCACAAAACCTCCTTTACCCCCTCTCTCCAACCCTTTCGAGGACGACCCTACCCCGCCTTCCTTCCCATATATATATATATATATATATATATTTTTTTTTTTTTTTTTTTTTTTTTTTTTTTCAAACAAGTCGGCCGTCTCCCACCGAGGCAGGGTGACCAAAAAAGAAAGAAAATCCCCAAAAAGAAAATACTTTCATCATCATTCAACACTTTGATGATGAAAGTATTTTCTTTTTGGGGATTTTCTTTCTTTTTTGGGTCACCCTGCCTCGGTGGGAGACGGCCGACTTGTTGAAAAAAAAAAAAAAAAAAAAAAAAAAAAAAAAAAAAAAAAAAAAATATATATATATATATATATAATATATATATATATATATATATTATATATATATATATATATATATATATATATATATATATATATATATATAATATATACAGTGGTCCCTCGCTTTTCGTTGTTCTCGGCAATCGTAAATTTCAGAAATCATAGGGATATTTTCGTATAAACATGGGCTCACTTCTCATAGGTCGACTCGCGAGTCGTAGTTCGTCCGGGATGCGTACCCACGGCGTGAGCCGTGGCGGCAGCCAGTCTGGCATTGTTTACCAGTGAGCGAAGGTCCCCTCACGTGCTCAGGCAAAATATTTCATAATACATATTCCATTTATTTTAGTGCTTGCAAGCACTAAATAAGCTACCATGGCTCCAAAGAAAGCTCCTAGTGCTAAGCCTGTGGTAAAGAAGGTGAGAAATACGAATGAATTTAAGAAAACCATCAAAAAACGTTATCTATGGAGGCAAAGAGGGGAATGTATGAAAGTATAGTAGTACCAACACTCTTATATGGGTGTGAAGCTTGGGTGGTAAATGCAGCAGCGAGGAGATGGTTGGAGGCAGTGGAGATGTCCTGTCTAAGGGCAATGTGTGGTGTAAGTATTATGCAGAAAATTCGGAGTGTGGAAATTAGGAAAAGGTGTGGAGTTAATAAAAGTATTAGTCAGAGGGCAGAAGAGGGGTTGTTGAGGTGGTTTGGTCATTTAGAGAGAATGGATCAAAGTAGAATGACATGGAAAGCATATAAATCTATAGGGGAAGGAAGGCGAGGTAGGGGTCGTCCTTGAAAGGGTTGGAGAGAGGGGGTAAAGGTGGTTTTGTGGGCAAGGGGCTTGGACTTCCAGCAGGCGTGCATGAGCGTGTTAGATAGGAGTGAATGGAGACGAATGGTACTTGGGACCTGACGATCTGTTGGAGTGTGAGCAGGGTAATATTTAGTGAAGGGATTCAGGGAAACCGGTTATTTTCATATAGTCGGACTTGAGTCCTGGAAATGGGAAGTACAATGCCTGCACTTTAAAGAAGGGGTTTGGGATATTGGCAGTTTGGAGGGATATGTTGTGTATCTTTATACGTATATGCTTCTAAGCTGTTGTATTCTGAGAATCTCTGCAAAAACAGTGATTATGTGTGAGTGTGGTGAAAGTGTTGAATGATGAAAGCATTTTCTTTTTGGGGATTTTCTTTCTTTTTTGGGTCACCCTGCCTCGGTGGGAGATGGCCGACTTGTTGAAAAAAAAAAAAAACATATATATATATCCTAGGTAGTAGGTTGGTAGACAGCAACCACCCAGGGAGGTACTACCATCCTGCCAAATGAGTGTAAAACGAAAGCCTGTAATTGTTTTACATGATGGTAGAACTGCTGGTGTCCTTTTTTTCTGTCTCATGAACATGCAAGATTTCAGGTACGACTTCCTACTTCTACTTACACTTAGGTCACACTACACATACATGTACAAGCACATACGTACACACCCCTCTGGGTTTTCTTCTATTTTCTTTCTAGTTCTTATTCTTGTTTATTTCCTCTTATCTCCATGGGGAAGTGGAACAGAATTCTTCCTCCATAAGCCATGCATGTTGTAAGAGGCGACTAAAATGCTGGGAGCAAGGGGCTAGTAACCCCTTCTCCTGTATAAATTACTAAATTTGAAAAGAGAAACTTTTGTTTTTCTTTTTGGGCCACCCTGCCTTGGTGGGATACGGCCAGTTTGTTGAAAGAAAGAAGATATATATATATGTTGGCAGACAGCAACCACCCAGGGAGGTACTACCGTTCTGCCAAGCGAGTGTAAAATGAAAGCCTGTAATTGTTTTACATGATGGTAGGATTGCTGGTGTCCATTTTTCTGTCTCATAAACATGCAAGATTTCGGGTACATCTTGTTACTTCTTCTTACACTTAGGTCACACTACACATGCATGTACAAGCATATACATATATATACACACCCCTCTGGGTTTTCTTCTATTTTCTTACTAGTTCTTGTTCTTATTTCCTGGTATTTCCATGGGGAAGTGGAACAGAATTCTTCCTCCGTAAGCCATGCGTGTTGTAAGAGGCGACTAAAATGCCGGGAGCAAGGGGGCTAGTAACCCCTTCTGTACAAATTACTAAATTTATAGAGAGAAACTTTCGTTTTTCTTCTTAGGCCACCCTGCCTTGGTGGGATACGGCCGGTTTGTTGAAAAAATTAATAAATAATCCCTTGCAAAAATTTCATTACCATCTGACAAACTATTTTTCTAGTATGTTTTTTTCAGAGACGTAGAGATATATAAATTGATAACTGAAGCAGAGTTTAATGAAAAAAATTAAAGTGTGAGTAAACAAACTAGATTACACAAGCCATCATTATTTATTTATTGACATTACCAAATATTAAAGTGACAACTCACAACTCATAAAATGTATTTTGATACTTGCCCAAAAAATTCTGATATAAAAGTATAGTAGATAAGAGGAGTGAGAAGAGAGAAGTAGGTCCAGGTGGTAGCATTGACGAGACAGAGTCCAGCAGCCTGATGCATATGGTAGAGAGCGCTGCCAACACACTGAATCAAGTTCAGTACAGCTAAGAACCCCAGGTACACGTAAAATGCACGCTTCACTGGAAAATTGAGAGAACAGAATTATAGCGCGTGCACACACACACACACACACACACACACACACACACTTATTAACTTTACTTTTTTTTTAGTCAAACCACACTAAAGATATTCCTGCCACCCACGTATTTTTTTTTCTAACATGCTGGCCATCTCCCACCAAAGGTGACCCGTAAGGGAAACACAGTCACCATCATTTACACTATCACTGTCCTGCCAGAGGTGTGCAGATACAATTATGTTAGCTACTTTCTCTAGTAGTAATAATAATAGTTAACAGTTGGTAGTAGTAGTATTAGTGGCAGTTAGTAGCAGTAATTATAGCAGTAGTAAATAGCATATTTATAGGGAGGTAACCCGCAAGGAATAAAAGTGACTGGAGAATGCAAGGCAATCAATCCTGATCATAGAAAGGGTAAAACAGTTACTAATCATTCGATGAGAAGCCCTTGACCAACGCCTTCTTCACATTTCCTCTGAAGATTCAGTATGCACTGCTCTGCTCTTGTCAAAAATCCTCCCAGGTACATGAAGGAGTGCATTCATTTAAACTACTCTCCCTTCAATACAGTACACATCTCAACCAACCTCTTTCAAATTGTGATGAAGTAATAACCCTTAAAACATGCTCAAGATTAAGGTAAACAAATTTTAATTTTTGCCTTGAATATTTAAAGCAAGTACAAAGAATACTAAATGAAAACAAGACACTTTAGGAAGATATAAATAACAGATCTTTTCTTCTCTCCTTCACATAAATGCAATATATACAACGCAAGTGTTGAAGAATTAACTTACTTGGCATCCATAAGAGAAAGAGAAAACGCTTCCTCAGCCAATCCAGTCTCAATACCAAGATGAAAGAGTAGATCTGGAATTTGTTTAGTGGAATAGGTTAAAACTAATGCTAAAAAAAAAAAACTAACTGCAATTAACTCATAACATTTAATGGTTTTAATAGTGTATGTCTATTAACATATGACCCTAAAGTATAGTGGAGCAATTTTTGCTGACTGAGTGTCCAGAAACTAGCAAAAGCAATGATTAATTTCATATGACTATGGTTTCAAGAAACAAATAAGATTAATAAGACATTACTAAGACATTACTAAATTTAAAAAGAGAAACTTTTGTTTTTCTTTTTGGGCCACCCTGCCTCAGTGGGATACGGCCGGTTTGTTGACAGAAGAAGAAGACATTTAGATTCAGACCAGCATAACAGTATTCATCTATCCTATCCCCAGGATTACAGGTATCTTATTAATTGTAACAAGACCTACCATCACTAAATTAGTTATCTTTCTTATTCACAAACTGTCACCCAATTATGTACCATGTTTTGCAATAGATGATATTCTATTATATATATATTATATATATTATATTATAATATTATATTATATTATATATATGTTGTGTATCTTTATATGTGTATGCTTCTAGACTGTTGTATTCTGAGCACCTCTGCAAAAACAGTGATAATGTGCGAGTGTGGTGAAAGTGTTGAAAATGATGATAAAGTATTTTCTTTTTGGGGATTTTCTTTCTTTTTTGGGTCACCCTGCCTCGGTGGGAGACGGCCGACTTGTTGAAAAAAAAAAAAAAAAAAAAAAAAAAAAAAAAAAAAAAAAAAAATTATGACTGACTATGTCCAATGTTTCGTAACAGATGATCTATCATATATACAACTGCCATTCTCTAACATGGTCAATGTTCAAATTAACCTACAGAGTGTACATCCTGAAGAAAACAACTTCACTATGACTTCAATGCTGTGAACAGCCACTTTTCTCGTCAAATTATAGAATGTGGAAAATTTACTATACAGGTATTTACCAGGAAAAAAATGATAAACACAAAGACATCACTGCCATATGCTAAATTTTCCAAGTTTTATAATATGACAGAAAAGTAGCTGCCTTCAGTAATAATACTATGGTGAACCTCTTTTTTCCAAAGATTCACAATTTAAAGGTTAATTTGAACACTGGCTATGTTAATATCTGGTGAAGTTCCCTGTTTTAGACTTGGTTATGCACTGTAACCCAATCCCACATAACAACTACCCGATAAATACATTGTAATCCCTACAACTCAGCTGTACTCTAATTCACATATTTCAGTAATTTGTAGATTTTCATTGAATAGCCTACCACAAATAAATTCAGACTCCATGGGGAAGTGGTGAAGAATCCTTCATACATAAGCCATGCATGTTGTAAGTGGCAACTAAAATGCCAGGAGCAAGGGGCTAGTAACTCCTTCTCCTGTATAAATTACTAACTGTAAAAAGAAAAACTTTCCACGAGCGTTGTAAGAGGCAACTTAAAATGCCGGGGGCAAGGGGTTAGTAACCAATTCTCATGTATAAATTACTAAATTTAAAAAGAGAAACTTTCGTTTTTCTTTTTGGGCCACCCTGCCTTGGAGGGATACGGCCGGTTTGTTTAAAAAAGTTCTTCTTTTTACAGTTGGTAATTTAACCTAAAAAGATAAACTTTCATTTTTCGTTTTAGGTTACCCTGCCTTGGTGGGATATGGCTGGTGCATTGAAAAAATAAATAACAAGAGGTTTTTGTATGGAAAGCTGAAAGAATGCTCAAAAAATATTTTATACATATCATTTATAGATTTAGAAAAGGCATATGATAGAGTGGATAGAGGAGCAATGTGGCAGATGTTGCAAGTTTATGGAATAGTTGGTAAGTTACTAAATGCTGTAAAGAGCTTTTATGAGGATAGTGAGGCTCAGGTTAGGGTGTGTAGAAGAGAGGGAGAATACTTCCCGGTAAAAGTAGGTCTTAGACAGGGATGTGTAATGTCACCATGGTTGTTTAATATATTTATAGATGGGGTTGTAAAAGAAGTAAATGCTAGGGTGTTCGGGAGAGGGGTGGGATTAAATTATGGGGAATCAAATTCAAAATGGGAACTGACACAGTTCCTTTTTGCTGATGATACTGTGCTTATGGGAGATTCCAAAGAAAAATTGCAAAGGTTAGTGGATGAGTTTGAGAATGTGTGTAAATGTAGAAAGTTGAAAGTGAACATAGAAAAGAGTAAGGTGATGAGGGTATCAAATGATTTAGATAAAGAAAAATTGGATATCAAATTGGGGAGGAGGAGTATGGAAGAAGTGAATGTTTTCAGATACTTGGGAGTTGACGTGTCGGCGGATGGGTTTATGAAGGATGAGGTTAATCATAGAATTGATGAGGGAAAAAAGGTGAGTGGTGCGTTGAGGTATATGTGGAGTCAAAAAACGTATGACAGGGTGGATAGGGGGGCAATGTGGCAGATGTTGCAAGTGTATGGTGTAGGAGGTAGGTTACTGAAAGCAGTGAAGAGTTTTTACGAGGATAGTGAGGCTCAAGTTAGAGTATGTAGGAAAGGGGGAAATTATTTCCCAGTAAAAGTAGGCCTTAGACAAGGATGTGTGATGTCACCGTGGTTGTTTAATATATTTATAGATGGGGTTGTAAGAGAAGTAAATGTGAGGGTCTTGGCAAGAGGCGTGGAGTTAAAAGATAAAGAATCACACACAAAGTGGGAGTTGTCACAGCTGCTCTTTGCTGATGACACTGTGCTCTTGGGAGATTCTGAAGAGAAGTTGCAGAGATTGGTGGATGAATTTGGTAGGGTGTGCAAAAGAAGAAAATTAAAGGTGAATACAGGAAAGAGTAAGGTTATGAGGATAACAAAAAGATTAGGTGATGAAAGATTGAATATCAGATTGGAGGGAGAGAGTATGGAGGAGGTGAATGTATTCAGATATTTGGGAGTGGATGTGTCAGCGGATGGGTCTATGAAAGATGAGGTGAATCATAGAATTGATGAGGGGAAAAGAGTGAGTGGTGCACTTAGGAGTCTGTGGAGACAAAGAACTTTGTCCTTGGAGGCAAAGAGGGGAATGTATGAGAGTATAGTTTTACCAACGCTCTTATATGGGTGTGAAGCATGGGTGATGAATGTTGCAGCGAGGAGAAGGCTGGAGGCAGTGGAGATGTCATGTCTGAGGGCAATGTGTGGTGTGAATATAATGCAGAGAATTCGTAGCTCGGAAGTTAGGAGGAGGTGCGGGATTACCAAAACTGTTGTCCAGAGGGCTGAGGAAGGGTTGTTGAGGTGGTTCGGACATGTAGAGAGAATGGAGCGAAACAGAATGACTTCAAGAGTGTATCAGTCTGTAGTGGAAGGAAGGCGGGGTAGGGGTCGGCCTAGGAAAGGTTGGAGAGAGGGGGTAAAGGAGGTTTTGTGTGCGAGGGGCTTGGACTTCCAGCAGGCATGCGTGAGCGTGTTTGATAGGAGTGAATGGAGACAAATGGTTTTTAATACTTGACGTGCTGTTGGAGTGCGAACAAAGTAACATTTATGAAGGGGTTCAGGGAAACCGGCAGGCCGGACTCGAGTCCTGGAGATGGGAAGTACAGTGCCTGCACTCTGAAGGAGGGGTGTTAATGTTGCAGTTTAAAAACTGTAGTGTAAAGCACCCTTCTGGCAAGACAGTGATGGAGTGAATGATGGTGAAAGTTTTTCTTTTTCGGGCCACCCTGCCTTGGTGGGAATCGGCCAGTGTGATAATAATAATAAAAAAAAAAAAAACGTTATCTATGGAGGCAAAGAAGGGAATGTATAAAAGTATAGTAGTACCAACACCCTTATATGGATGTGAAGCTTGGGTGGTAAATGCAGCAGCGAGGAGACGGTTGGAGGCAGTGGAGATGTCCTGTCTAAGGGCAATGTGTGGTGTAAATGCAGAAAATTTGGAGTGTGGAAATTAGGAGAAGGTGTGGAGTTAATAAAAGCATTAGTCAGAGGGCAGAAGAGGGGTTGTTGAGGTGGTTTGGTCATTTAGAGAGAATGGATCAAAGTAGAATGACGTGGAAAGCATATAAATCGATAGGGGAAGGAAGGCGAGGTAGGGGTCGTCCTCGAAAGGGTTGGAAAGAGGGGTAAAGGAGGTTTTGTGGGCAAGGGGCTTGGACTTCCAGCAGGCGTGCATGAGCGTGTTAGATAGGAGTGAATGGAGAAGAATGATACTTGGGACCTGACGATCTGTTGGAGTGTGAGCAGGGTAATATTTAGTGAAGGGATTCAGGGAAACCGGTTATTTTCATATAGTCGGACTTGAGTCCTGGAAATGGGAAGTACAATGCCTGCACTTTAAAGGAGGGGTTTGGGATATTGGCAGTTTGGAGGGATATGTTGTGTATCTTTATACATATATGCTTCTAAACTGTTGTATTCTGAGCACCTCTGCAAAAGCAGTGATAATGTGTGAGTGTGGTGAAAGTGTTGAATGATGATGAAAGTATTTTCTTTTTGGGGATTTTCTTTCTTTTTTGGGTCACCCTGCCTCGGTGGGAGACGGCCAACTTGTTGAGAGAAAAAAAAAAAAAATTTAAAATACTGTACAATATTATTTTGCAGGTAAATCTAAATTAATATTTTATGAAATGGGAATGGTATCAAGAAGGCAAAATCATAAATTTTGATGCTTGTGTATGGCAGCCTTCTAATGCTTATTTTTTCAACAATTCTCCAACATAAATCACATATTTCTTCTTTCAACACACCGGCCGTATCCCACCGAGGTGGAGTGGCCCAAAAGGAAAAACGAAAGTTTCTCCCTTTACATTTAGTAATTTATACAGGAGAAGGGGTTACTAGCCCCTTGCTCCCAGCATTTTAGTCGCCTCTTACAACACGCATGGCTTACGGAGGAAGAATTCTGTTCCACTTCCCCATGGAGATAAGAGGAAATAAACAAGAATAAGAACTAGAAAGAAAATAGAAGAAAACCCAGAGGGGTGTGTATATATGTGCTTGTACATGTATGTGTAGTGTGACCTAAGTGTAAGTAGAAGTAGGAAGACGTACCTGAAATCTTGCATGTTTATGAGACAGAAAAAAGAACACCAGCAATTCTACCATCATGTAAAACAATTACAGGCTTTCGTTTTACACTCGCTTGGCAGGACGGTAGTACCTCCCTGGGTGGTTGCTGTCTACCAACCTACTACCTATGATAAATCACATATATATACACATAATTAACTGATATAACACAGCTGATATCACTGTCACTACCACCTAAGAATACTCTTGTACAATAACAATCTTCTTTCTTCTTCTTGCAACAGTGGCCGTACCCCACCCAGGTAGGGTGGCCCAAAACAAAAAACCAAAGTTTCTCCTTTAAATTTAGTAATATATACAGGAAAAGGGGTTACTAGCCCCTTGCTCCCAGCATTTTAGCCGCCTCTCATGACACGCATTTTAGACGCCTCTCATGACACGCATGGGCTACGGAGGAAGAATTCTAATTCAACTCCATGGAGATAAGAGGAAAAAAAAAAAGAAGATAGTAAAATATGATAGAAAGAAAGAGGGGTGTGTATATATAGTTGTACATGCAAGTGTAGTGTGACCCATGTGTAAAGTAGAAGCTAAAAAAGCAGTTTCCTTAAATCTTGCATGTATTATGAGACAGAAGAAAGACACCAGCAATCCTACCATCATATAAAACAATTACATGTTTCGCTTTACACTGACTTGGCAGGATGGTAGTACTTCCCTGGGGGGCTGCTGTCTACCAACCTACTACAGTATATTTAGGAATCTTCTTCTGTTAACATAATTTAATGCCATGATTGCTAAAATGTTACTGAATACACTTAATGAACCAAAAACAAATTCTTTGACTTAATATATAGAATTTTTTGTGAATAAAAAGTTAAACTACTCTGCTTCCTTCCTTTACTTGCATCAAGCAAATAAAGAACCTTGCTTATACAGAAGACACACTGCTGGTGGATTGCTGATGTTCCTTAACAGAAATTATACTGACTGAACTATTTGCCAATGAAATATTTCTTTTGTTTGCAGGATTAGTGAATTTACTTAGTAGGAATAGTGGCTAATAACTGTTTGCCAACAAAGTACGTATTTCTTTTTCTAAACTTAAACTATCCTTCTTCCTCATTTCAACAAGCATGCATAAAGACTGTGGGTATTCTTGAGTGCCAGAATCTATCAGAGACAATCTGATGATAGACACAACAACATATGAAAAAATTCTGGATGTGGAGAGAAAAACAATTTGAAAAATACACCCCAAATCACAAAAGCTCAGCATAAATTGAATATTGTATAAATTTAAACTTACCAGTGTAAAAATAATGGAAGAGACAAGCCAGAAGAGGGAGCCGCCATGGCCATAAAGTTCATAGTCCTTGCTGGGGACATAGAAATCATGGTCTGGAGTCAGCACCTCCAGGGCCCCTTGGACCACCGAGTACGGAAGGGCGATCATCGAGGTCACAACAAGAACTCGTCTGATACTAGTCTTGTTGTCCAGGTGTCCTGCACGCAGTTCAATTTTATGATAGACAAAAGCTTCAACAGGAAATTAATACTGTTGAGCAAAGCGCTAAACCATGAGTTACTTCACTAGAAAATTAAGAGAAGATCAACTCACAAAAGCATGAACAAAAGGCATACTAATAGTATGAACATTCTCTGATGTGCAAAATGAATGTATATACAAAAAAATATTCGTTAATTTAAAACAAACTTTCTACTGATAAAGCTAACTTAACACACATAATAATGAACAGCCTAAATTATCAAGGCATTTTTTATAACCTTTCAGAAGTAACAAGACATGTTTTTGACAGGAATATCCTAAGATGTCAAGAAATTTATTATTACTGTATATCCTTTGAAGATAAAAAAAAAAATGATAAGGAGTTCTTGTATAAAATGGCACCATTTTTTTCAAAAGCTCTGTCAATATCATCTATGGCAATTCAGCTCTTTCTTAGCTTTAAAAAAAAAAAACCTTCAGACAAATTTTCTGAAAATTTCCATATACGTATAATATTTACAGTTCCTGTTGAACAAGCCTTTATGTGTGCACATGTACAATTCTAAATTCCTACTTGTATTTAAAAGGCACCGAGCTGTGTTTGTGGTGTTCAATCCATCTTTAATTACAGTAATACATTATAAAATTCCCATTCAAACATACGTGCATGCATCACCTACATGCAATGATGTGTACTAACCTTCTATTGAATGCAGGAAAAAAAAATTGCCTAAACTATATCAAAAACTCACCAAAAAATACTGCAAAAACCACGACACTCATCTCTGTGGCCAGCAAGAAGAACCGTACAATAACATACAATAACTTGTTGGCCACATCTCCAGATGGCGTTGCTGCATTAACAGTCATTGACACCACACATCTTGCCACTGATATTAATGTATTGAGCCAAATCTACAAGGATAAGAAATCAATGACTAAGAATTGTATAACTTTTATACACTGATTTTATCTCCACTTCTGATATAGTAAACATTAATGCTATGCAAGTTCTATAAAAATACTACAAAAGCTTTCTGATCCTGTAAGTAATTATCAAATTAAAATATTTTAGTACTGAAAGCACAGTTTGAAGATTTCATACTGTAATTTCGTATGGGTCTACAAGTTTTATACTGGTACTGTACAACACATCATATTCGATGATCCAGTAGCCAACACTATGTATTGAGTGCCTTTTATGGCTGCAATAATGATTATCATTAAATTAAACAAACTTTAACCTGCATGGCACTGGCACCACGACTGGCTAGCTGGGGTCTGAATCGGTCAGGCTATTTCATGACTGCAATAATATTTAACTAAAAAATTTTATTCAATTAAAAACTTGATGTTAATAATGGTACTGTACATTAATTGAAAAGATATGTCCTTCATTTTATACTTTATAATAGATTTTAGTAATGTTATGCAGTAGTGACTTTTAATAGAAATGTACTAATCCTAGGCACCGAGCCATGCAGCCTTTATGTCATGATTTTGAAATAACATCATGACTAATACAGTAATCCTAATAATGCTTCAGCAAATGCTTCGAAAAAGCATTAAGTGCAAGACAATGAGTACTGAGGAGAAAATAGTATTATTTAACTTAATGGAAAAAGTTTCCACTTCACATTTAGATTTAGATTCCTTTTCTTAAATTTCTGCATATAGTACAAAATATGCAATCATCAGAAAGCCCATAGGATGCACAGCATCTCAAAACACTCATTATAAAAAATATCTCAATTTCTTGGTTTCCGATGGAACTCAAGATTTTCAAATTACTTGTTCTATTCCAACATGACACACATAAAACTACTGTACAGCACTTAATTTACAGCATGGTTTTTGTACTGTATATAGAGAGCAAAATTATTCTTCAATTATATCAGTAGGATTTTACCCTTTCTACATTACTTAAATAAACCAACTGATATTTTTTCAACTGATATTTTTATTGTGCCATCTATTGTACAAACTGTATGAATCATAAAACTTCCAAGTTTATTTATTTTCCAAGTCATAATCTTTTTTTCAGAGTTATGACACTAAGATAATAAATATTATAAAGCTATAAACTGAAGCCATCAACTCACCAGGCCATAAAATGTTGCATATATTGGACTGTGTACAGCACGCAGCTTGAGTCTTGCACTGTTTATCTTAACAAGAAGACCAATGAGAAAGAGAAGTGTTGGCAGGAGCAGCAATAAGTCCCAGACACGCACTCTGAAATGACGACTTGATTAGGGTCTCCTAAAACTTTCAAATTCCCTAAAATCTTGACTAAATACATAAAAGAATATTTTTCATAGAAAATAGTATGCAAATGACTCGAGAAATCGTAATATGACTGCAAACAAACCATGGGTGGCTTACGCACAGGCCTGAGTTTTACGACTCACTTGCCATGAGTTCTAACCCCATCCGTACCATGGTTAGTATACGCATGAACTTTTAAAAAATAACCAAGTCATTTAACAACATATTAGGGTCAGGTAGGCTAGGTTAGTGCATGCCAAAAATAATTTTGCTCAATTTTTATAAGGGATAACTTCACTCAAGAGAAAATATTTGAGACGTTCAACCAACTGGTGACTTGGAAACATCAGTGAGGTCACTGGTGTTCCTTCAGCAAACATCAGTGAGATCACTGATGTTCCTTCAGCAAACTCAATTTCACAAGTTTAACCTTAGAGGTATACTAAGTAAAAAGAAATGTCTTCATCCGTTATACCAAGGTATGCTGTACCTGGCGAGGGCATATTAAAATATAATCACTGCAATCAGAATTTATTGTTCCTATTGAGGAACATACAGCAATAATCACAAATGAATGAAAGTCTTATCACAACCCTACTTCACGACCCGCACCCGTGAATATCTCAACTAGGGTTAAAGTAACTAACCAAGGTTAAGCTAGGTAAGGTTCCTCAGGAAATAGGACAAGCGCTTCCTGCTGCGAGTCTTAGTCATACAACCCGCAGCTGGAGCTTCTGGTCATCTGACCGAGGCCTTCCACAGGCTTACCTCTCCCCCCTTCAAAAAGTTAAGGTTATTATTATAACCATTAGCACATTTGCATCAATAACAGCACAAATATAGGAGATGCAAACCATACCATGGGAGGAGATTGAACTCGTGGCAAGTTCAATCCCCGCTCATTTTTTTTTCTGCAATCGTGTCATTACGATTTCGCGAGTCATGGGAGATGCAATAAATGCATTACACACCAGAAGAAACGTCCTATGGGAAGACCTTATGTTAAGAAACATGCAGCAGCTGTAAGAACTGGCGAGACCAGGTACCTAACAATTATTTTCCTAGAAATATTTAAATTAAATTAGCACCTGCAGCATAAATACGGCCAATTAATATTGATATTTACATCGTGGAAATCAACTCAGTCATGGAACAATAGAGAGAAATATTACGAGTGTAGAGTCTGGCATCAATCACCTGGAATCTCCTATCTCCATGTATAAAATAAATTTGCAGAAGCCATCCTCTGGAGGCTCAGGTATAGTGGTATTGTCTGGAGGCTCGATGGTGGTAGTTGTGGTGGTAGTAGTGGTGGTGGTAGTTGTGGTAGTGAAGGTTGTAGTGGTAGTGATGGTAGGGCTGGCTGTGGTCACCCTGATCAGGGGGTCCAGGTTTCTCATTATTACATCCGCCATTAGCATGAATTACGAGGCCCCGGCGCGCCCCTCACATCTCTGCCAGCAGTATGTGTGCTCAGCGTGCTGCAGCAGTCACCAGCACGCCATTAATGTCACTCTCCTGACAGGATTGTTGTCTCTGATGGGATGCGTCACCCAAGTACGAAACAATAATATTAGAATGGTAGACGAAAACTTGAGGTCTGCAGAGGAGGATCTAACACAAAATAGCATCTCAACTCCCCACCCACACCGCAGTCTTCTCCCTGATTCTCCATCCTTAATGCAATTACAAATCCAAACTTATTTGGTTTTTTCACTTATAAATCACTAAGAAGCCCTATAGCAATTTTTTTTATAAATAATTTTCAAATTATATTAACAAAAGAAAACATACAACTCTAGATTTTTTTCCTAAATGAAGTTTATTCTATGTATAGAAAAGTATCACCAGAGTGATACTTTTCTATACATATATATTAATTTTAATGAAGACATAAGATCAAATTTCCAACCACCTTGTTACTCATGTTAGTAATAATTCAATATTGCTCCTTGGCGGATTTTTCGATGAAATATAGATTAAATTGTACAGTATTGCGCTTTTTACGTAACAGATAGTAATACAGTGTATCAATGGTGAGTCACGTTAGTAAACATAACGAGACTCAGGTAACACAACTCAAGGCCACTGTGTCCCGTGGCCTGGTAGGCAACGCACTCGCCTTACACATTGAGTGTCCGTGGTTCAATCCCCGGCACGGGTGGAAACATTGGGAGTTTCTTTACACCTGTTGTCCCTGTTCACCTAGCAAGTAATTAGGTACCTGGGTGCTAGTCACCTTACACCTGTTGTCCCTGTTCACCTAGCAAGTAATTAGGTACATGGGTATTAGTCACCTTACACCTGCTGTCCCTGGTCACCTAGAAGTAACTTGGTACCTGCTATTAGTCACTATACACCTGCTATCCCTGTTCATTTAGCAAGTAACTAGGTATCTGGCTATTAGTCACCTTACACCTGCTGTCCTTGTTCACCTAGCAAGCATGTAGGTACAAGGGTGTTAGGTGACTGGTGTGAGTGGCATCCTGGGGATTAACATTGAAGGATGACAATGGAAATAAGATAGTCCTCGATGAAGCACTTGACTTTCTTGGTTTATCCTGGGTGGCTAATTCTCCCTACCCTGGGTTATCCTGGGTGGCTAAGAGATAAGATAAGATTTCGTTGGGAGTTTTAACCCCGGAGGGTTAGCCACCCAGGATAACCCAAGAAAGTCAGTGCGTCATCGAGGACTGTCTAACTTATTTCCATTGGGGTCCTTAATCTTGTCCCCCAGGATGCGACCCACACCAGTCGACTAACACCCAGGTACCTATTTGCTGCTAGGTGAACAGGACAATAGATGTAAGGAAACGTGTCGAAATGTTTCCACCCGCCGGGAATCGAACCCGGGCTGACCCTCCGGGGTTAAAAATCCCAGCAAAATCTTATCTAAAGGTAACCTAACGTATTATTATTATAATCAAGGGGGAAGCGCTAAACCCGGAGGATTATACAGCGCCTGGGGGGATGGATGTGGAAGGCATTCAGGCTTAATTTGGGGAACTGGAGCACAGATCCAATTCCCTAAATCAAGAGCCCCTCACCAACATCAAGGAACCTTCCTTGAGGGGTAACCTAACATAACCTTAATCCACCACCCGTCTTTGTTTACATCCGCTGCGTCTTTGTTTACATCTGTTTTTGTTTACATTTGTTGCGTCTTTGTTTGCATCCTCTGCGTCATTATTTACGTCCGCTGCATTATTGTTTACATCAGCTGCGTCATTGCTTGCATCCGTTGCGTCATTATTTACGCCCGCTGCGTCTTTGCTTACATCCCCCCCGTCTTTGTTTACGTCCGCTGCGTCTTTGTTTCCACCCGCTGCGTTTTTGTTTACCTTTGCTGTGATTACCCAGGCCGTCCTTCAGTTCAATTCAAAGTTTATTCTCTATAAGGATTACAATGGTGAGTTTACAGAATTTGGTTATTGTATTGTTTACATGTAGTAAAATAATAATTACAGAGTGTACCACTAGAACACCTAGCATGGCTAGGCATTTCGGGCAGACTTAAATTAAATCTTAAGTTTAAAATATTACAAATTATGAGGTAAGTTGGTATTATGGCTAAGTGACTAAATACTAGTTTGTGAGTTTAGCAATGTGAATGTTTTGTTTTGGCACAATACATAGTTTCAGTATTGGAGTATCACAGGCCAACTTATGACTAGTTAAGATTCATTATTTTGAGATTGAGATTGATATTTCTGTTTATGGTCAAATGGGTGAGTGAGTGTAAGTAAGTAAGTAAGTAAATTTATTCAGGTATACACAAATACAGTTACATAGAATTATCATACATAGCAGCATATGTGTAGAGAACCTAGGATAACCCAAAAAAGTCAGAGAGTGACTTATTTCCATTGGGGTCCTTTTACCTTATTATTATAATATAAAGGTTATAATATTTTCTTATTATTCTACAATGAAGATAACATCTTATTATCACACTAAAAAGACTATCTACTATACGAGGGTGGTATTCGTGTAGTTAGTTGATGGGGTGTATCAGGGAGATAAGATGTTTTCTAATGGTAGTTTTGAAGGTGATGAATGTGTCTGCAGTTCTAGAGTTCTCAGGTAGGGTATTCCAAATTTTCGGGCCTTTGACATACATTGAATTTTTGTAAAGGTTTAGTCGGACACGGGGAATGTCACAGAGATGTTTGTGTTTGGTGTTATGCCTGTGGGTTCTGTCACAACTATCAAGAAAGCGCTTTAGGTCAAGGTTAATATTGGAATTTAAGGTCCTGTAGATGTAGATTGCACTGTAGTAAGTGTGGATGTACTGAACAGGGAGTAAGTTTAGATCTATGAAGAGTGGGGGGGGTTGCCAGGGATGGGATTTAGTATTTTCTTACTGCGGCTTTTAGTTGGGTTATTATTGGCTTTAGGTGTGTTGCTGCAGTTGATCCCCAAGCACATATAGCATAGGTGAGGTATGGATATATAAGTGAGTGGTATAGTGTGAGAAGGGCAGTTTGTGGCACGTAGTATCGTATCTTGGAGAGGATCCCAACCGTTTTGGATACTTTTTTGGTTATGTGTTGGATATGGGTGCTGAAGTTCAGGTTGTTGTCGAGGTATAGGCCTAGGAATTTGCCCTCATTATGCCTGGCAATTAGAGTGTTGTCGATCTTAATGTTAATTTGCGCATCTCCTGCTCTGCTACCAAACATAATATAGTAGGTTTTGTCAGTGTTAAGCGTAAGTTTATTGGCTGTCATCCAAGTCGATATTTTGATCAGCTCCTCATTAACAATGGTGTTGAGGGTGGCAAGATTAGGGTGAGAGATGACATAAGTCGTGTCGTCAGCAAAGAGAATGGGTTTCAGGTGTTGGGATACGTTTGGAAGATCGTTGATGTATATGAGGAAGAGCAGGGGACCAAGGACACTTCCCTGCGGAACTCCAGTATCAAGTGGCTGTGTTGTTGATGCTGTGTCTTTAATGGTGACATACTGATACCTATTAGTAATGTAAGATTTGAAATATGCAAGCGCATGGCCTCTTATACCATAATGGTCAAGTTATTAGGTCAATAAAAATTCCAAGTGGATATTCCTTATTTTCCAATGCTGTGTAAAGCAGATCTAGCATTTTTATGATTGCATCGTTAGTGCTTTTATTTTTCCTGAATCCAAATTGGCAGGGGTTGAGTATGTTTTGTGCCGTTATAAATGAATATAGTCTCCTGTGCACGAGTTTCTCAAAGATTTTGGATAGCAATGGTAAGTTTGATATTGGCCTATAGTTGTTTAAATCTGTAGGGTCACCACCTTTATGTATTGGTGTAACCCTTGCCATCTTGAGTAGTTTCGGGAAGGTGCTAGTTTCTAGTGACTTGTTAAAAAGTAATGAGATAGAATGCGAGAGGACATGGGCCACTCTCCTGTACAATAATGGTGGGACATGAGACAGATTCCCTGAGTTATTTTTAAGTGCCTTTATAATCTCGGTGACTTCCATGGGCTCAGTTTGAGCAAGATAGAAGGAATTTGGGAAATTCCCATCTAGGTAGTCCCCGGCATGGGCATTGGTGCGTGGGATTTTATTGGCGAGATTAGAACCTATGGTTGAGAAGAAGTCGTTTATCTTGTTAGCTGTGTCAGTGGGATGCAGTGGTGTTTCATTAGGTTTAGTTAGGGCAATATTCTTGTCTTTTTTTCAGTTTTTGGGTCCCTAGAATCTGAGAGAGTGTTTTCCAAGTCTTTTTTATATCTCCTCTAGTGTCAGTGAATCTACTGGAGTAGTATAGTTGTTTGGCTTTCTTTATTACTTTGGTGAGGACTGATGAATAGTGTTTAAGAATATCTTTGTGTATTAAGCCCTGTCTATATTGCTTTTCATATTGGTGTTTCTTATCAATGGATTTCAGAATGGTGCTGGTTAGCCATGGGCAACCAATCCGTTTGTTTGTGATCTGTTTCGTTTTTATAGGACAATGTTTGTTGTATAGTCTAAGTAATTTGTTAAGAAAAATGTCTGTCCAGTCATCAATACCATTGGCCTTGGAGAATTCTGTAGGCCAGTCAATCTCTAGGTCAGCTGTGAACTTCCTTATTGAGGCCTCATCATGGAGTCTAAATGAAACTTTGTTGTATTCAAATGGTGGTTTACTAATGTTTGTCAAGAGGAAGGTAGGGTAGTGGTCTGTAGTGCTATCTGTGATTATCCCTGATTTAAGGGAGGCTAGTATATTGGTCCATATGTGGTCTATTATGGTTGCACTCGTTTCAGTGAGCCTGGTTGGTTTAGTTAATGTTGGTATGAGAAGTGTGTTGTTCATATTGTTGATGAAATCAGTTACAGGCTGATCATCTAGTAGGCCAAGGTTGATGTTGAAGGCTTCAGCTAAGAGAAGGTGGTGCTTATTCATTTGTCTGTTTGTTATTAGTGCCTTTAGTTTCTCACTGAAATTTGGGATGTTTGTGTGGGGTATCCGGTAAATAGCACCGATTGTTATAGGCGTCTTAAGGGTTTTTACAGTAAAATTAGCAAAAATGTATTCTCCATATTCATCACTAAAGCAAGTGGTGCTAATACAAGATAATTGGTTAGAGTAATAGATTGCAATA